ATTTGCTATGTACATGAGACAAGACACATTGAAAGCAAATAATGGAAGACCAGGAGGAAATGAGCCCATGGGGTACTCCACATCTGTAGACAGGAGGCCATGGGCTCAAATCCCAAGATAATACTGAGTGGTAAAGATGTCGCAAGAGGTTTTTGCACGTTCATCCTCCTGTAATACTGTCCAGGTAAGCATACTTATGTACATAGAAAACACACATAATAATGGATGGAATGACAATGTGACACTAAAATGATGTTATACTTACAACTAAGTAGAAGTACCGCAGAGCAACCTTTAAGTACTCAAAGTAATTAAATCCTATTTACTACTCTATTGAAGTAAAAGAAGGGCCGCGAAGATCTTTTGAATCAAGTACCAACCAGCTTACTTTAGAAGTGTTTTGATAAGACAAGTAAGAACAAAATCTTTTGAACAACATTGTGGGTAAGTTGGAGCTTAATTTTGATTCTTGTATAATATTTTGATAGAGAGAATCTTCAAGTGAACCCTTTGTCCTAATGGATCGTAGATTTTTATTTCAATCACCCGCCACCAAACACACAAAAATATAGTGATCTGATAGTCATTTATTTCCAGTAAAAAGACACCAGGCAAACAATAAAAAAACATGATCACCCAATTCATGGAAGAGAAATTTTAAAAGCCAATAAAACGGCAAAAAAGACATTATTTACATTTGAGAGCAGTTCCCTGGCGAATAAAGGATAAAATAGGACAAGTAGCGAAGATTAGCACAATAGTTGGCAGAGACTGACCCAAGTATGTACATATGATATCTTTGGTGTAACCAGCTGTACAGAGTTTGGCACATAGAGCGAATAATCACTGAACATCTGCTGACACAGAGCACAGTATCAGAAGAAACAAGAGAAGAGAGGAATAAAGAGGGGAAACTAAGAACAAAGAAAAGCAATTGAATACATGACTCTGACCAAAGACAGGAAGACATACCAAGATTCAAGAAATGTACGAAATAAAAGATAGGGTTTGTTCATTAAGGATGCCTGCAAAAATCATCTTCTCCACCGTTCTGCAGACGTCCAGATACGGCATTATACAATGCCAAATGCCAGGAAGTATAGTATAGTGATGATTATCAAGAGGACAGTCACCAGATTGAAACCTTAAGTCTGGTAATATAAATCATTAAATTCTAGTCAATCAGTCCCGACAATTAGAGAAAATATTTTCTTTTCTTTAAGTCCAAACTCGCATTGTTTACATTTGTTGATAAATAGCAATCAATTGTATATAGCGTGATCTCCTTATGATTTTTTTTCTTTTAATACTAATTTCTCTGTGGTTTAAAATTATAGCTTTTTACAAAATTTCCCAAATGGAACAGTCATAGAGGACTTCAAGATAAAAAATTGTTTAATATACTGTAATACACACAGTGGGCCTTAGGCAGCATGTAACATTAAAATGTCAGCAGGTGGACATCTGGCAGCGTGTATGACAAAATGTCAGCATGTGGACATCCGGAAGATTCTGCCCCCGTCTACATTTGAAAGAACCCCTCCCCTCCTTCTTTGCGGATGTCTTTTATGAATGACCCCATACAGTAATACTGAACAGTGCATACCAAGTGAATGATGATAATACTGAATGGTAATGATACAAAATGAATGATAACACTGAAATGGTAACGATGATACAAAATGAATGATAATACTGAAATGGTAATGATACAAAATTAATAATCCTGAATGCTGATGATAATATTGAGTGCCAAATTCATTAGTCTAAAAAAAAATGCTTAATTTTGATACAAATAACAATGATGATAGAATGAGATTAAAATGATGATTCTAATGAATGATAATATTGATGATTCTGAATGAATGTCAATGATAATATGAAATGAATAATAATAGTGATGATACTGACTGATGATAATACTGAATGAATGATATTAAAAAAACTAAATGAATGATAAAACTGAGTCAAAGATTATATTGATGATACTGAATGATGGTAATACTGAATGGATGATAATACTGAATGAATGATGATAATATTGATGATAGTGAATGAATGATAATGATGAAAGATGATAATACTGAATAAATGATAATACTGAGGATGATGAAGATAGATAATACTGAATAATTAAGTTGATTACTACGAATGATCAAACATTACAATTCCAGATGAAGACTATAAAATATTTTTATATAATGGTTATGGAAGACCCTAAACTAATGTGTGCCGCAAATAATGTGTGCTATGAGTACTCTGAGATTGAGGTATTATATTGTGTATGTACGTGTTATTGGAATAGTTGTGGTGGTTACAATTTGAATGCTACTGTTTGTTGAATTCTGGGGATGGTTTATTTGAAAAAAGCTTCAAGTAAAAAAGGAAACATCTCAACCCTTGTTCAATCAATTGTTCAATCAGTTCAATCAATTCAATCAATTGTTCAATCAATTGTTCAATCAGTCTCCAAATACAAAGTCATATTGCTATCCAACAGTTGCATTCATTGACACAGAATCTCCTAGCATTCCTTCTCTCAGATTCAACAGTCATAATCTAGACACCAAAACTCCTAGCATTCCTTCTCTCAGATTCAACGGTCATAATCTAGACACCAAAACTCCTAGCATTCCTTCTCTCAGATTCAACAGTCATAATCTAGACACCAAATCGCCTAGCATTCCTTCTCTCAGATTCAACGGTAATAATCTAGACACCAGATCCACCCCATCAAAAGGAAATATAAAATCACAAATGGCAATCATGGCTATACAAACGGCAATCATGGCTATACAAACGGCAATCATGGCTATACAAATGGCAATCATGGCTATAAAAACTAACCTAAAGCCACGGGTGGCGAGTCTAAGGCTGGCTGGTCCAGGGGTAACCAGATGAGCGCTAGCAACTAAAAATTACTTAACCAGAGGTGGGCAGCATAATATCTCACACAACATCATTATTACAGACTTATCTAGGAAGACAAATGCTTTTGGACAGCAGACAACAGCCGTGTAGACAGTGTGAAAGAAACAAGTCTACAACACAAATCTATTGGAATGGAAGCTCTGGGATTTAGTTACGTCTCATGACAGCAGGTTGTATGTGTACACAAGACAAACAACAGGGTCTTTGGCTCATGACACAGCTTAGTGAATGCTGTTACAATAGCTGGTAAAGTCAGATATCAGTACAGTTATGTACAGTTGAAATAGCTCGTATGGTATGTCAGTGATGAACAGCTAAAATAGCTGGTGCAGTATGATGACAGAAATATACAGTTCTTAATAGCTGGTATAGTATGTCAGTGATGTACAGCTGTAATAGCTGGTACAGTATTCTGTCAGTAAGTAGTTTAAAAAGCTGGTACTGTATGTTGTGATTTATACACAGTTGTAAAACTGGTACAGTACGTCAGTGATGTACAGGTGTAATAGCTGGCACAGTACAGTTGTAATAGCTAGCACAGTACAGTTGTAATAGCTAGCATAGTACAGTTGTAATAGATGGCACAGTACACTCTTTTGTTAGCTATTCAAACAGCTACTAAGATGTGTCAGTGCCATCGACCCTGGAATTATGTACAGGAAATGTATACAAGGAAGGTATGTAGGTAGCTAATTACCCAATCTGATATTTATATCATAGATTTCAAGGTAAACATTTATGGAAATTATTCTTTTCTAAGCGGTAAAACGTTTAAAACGTCGTTCCTCAGGGTAAACAAAACTATATTTGGAATACTGGATTTAAAAATAACAAAACAAACTCCAAACAGCTCAGTGGAATAAAAACTTTTGGCACATGTTCATGTTCAGGTGGTCTTGGTAAAACTAAAACCACCATTGAGTATTGAATGGTACTGAAATAAGACAATAGTCAAATGGACCCTTTGAAGAGATGATACAACAAGAAACAATGAGTTTTTGGACATTCAATAATATCTACAATGTTTTCACTCCAAACCATTTGGTTAAAGACTACTTTGTATAGTTTGGAGTGAAAAAAGAAGCTAAAAAAACCAACTATGTATTATATGAATGAGGTATGGTTAAAATGTTAAAAGCAGAGGAATACAAGTAATACTGTGTAAAGAAACAATAGTGGAATATTCAAACTGTGCAACATAACATTAATCAAAGTCAAAACAATCTCACATCCAATCCTTGCACTTCTCAATGCTGAGACATGTTCATTGTTGATGTAGTGGTTTCTTGGATGAAATCTTAATTCAGCATGTCTACATCTAGAACAGCTGTTGAGGTGAGACAAACTTTCCTTTGGTCTACCATTCTACATTAGATATAAAATAGCCAAATTTATCTGTGTAACTTTCAGGCAACCATTGAAAATGAATAGAAGCCATGAATGCGTAGGCGTTTCTGATAAACTCTTGAAATGAGCCACAAGCAGTCCATATGTACAAAATGTCATGTCCATTGAGTTATATACAGCCTTGTATAGACGTGATGGTCACAGATAAAACAAGAATCTGACCAGAGACCAACATCAATTGCATGTTAGTTACATTATCCTTTATGGCAACAAAAGCAAGTATTCAATAAAAAAAACAAAAAAACATATGAAATAGAATTCATACTGAAAGAAAATATATGGAATAAAGTTCTTTTCACAATGGTGATTAATTATTGAAAAATCAACAAATCAAACACAGAAAAACAAACAATGAAACAAGTGTTGAGCATAAGAAATATTGAATTGCTTAAATCAAGAGTAGTTACTCTTTAGCTGAATTGGAAAACCAGCCACAAAACTAAGCACCAGTTGCGTCTAGTTGCAGACTTATAGAACCAACTGGCTTACAATTGCATCATTGTCATGAGATTGTTGCGGCTGTACTGTTTATAACCAATCTACTGTTGTGGTCGGAAGTAAAGCCAGTCTCCTAAATGTAGAAACAACCTGACATGATCAGTTGAAACAACTCCAGCTAGACTGAAGACAGACAAACCTCACGAGAAGAAATCGGTGGAAGGCTGGCGATGAGGTCAACAAACCCAAATCAGATCATGTGGCTCGGTGTGGGTGTGTCCACGGCAGTTTAATCTTCTTTGCTAGAGCCAGCAGCCATGTCTTCATCTTCACCATCAGATGGCTTACAGAATTTATATCTGGGGACAAAGCCGTTAAATTGATTGGATTATATCAATGTGCCCAGTAGAAATGATGACAGAATAGGTCAGCTTCCTGATACAAATGGTCAAGTTATAATCACAGACTTAAATACCCGTCTCTATGATTCATGTTTCTCTGTGCCCCACCCTCCCCCTTTCCTCTTCCTACCTAAGCTGTCTGCACTGACAAGGGTGTGTGTGTGTGTGTTCCATGAGTTTGATATGTTTGAGAATGTCCTTACCTGTGATTCATGTGCTGACTGTAAGATCCAGAGTGAGAGAAACGTTTGCCACACTTCCTGCACTTGAAGGGCTTCTCTCCACTGTGAAGCCTTCTGTGTTCTGTCAGGTGATGTTTGTGCTTGAATGCTTTGGAACAAACCTCACAGTTGAATGGCCTGGCTCCTGCAATTGGAAACATACAAATCTCTATTAGTCAAGAGGCACACATTTGTTATAGTGTTCCTTGTATGTTGAATCAAATTCCTTCCGTACATGGTTTCATTCCTCGGCTCACGCCATCACCCATGCCGCACTCACCCCTGCCGCCCTCACCCCATTAATGTAAGACTGACCAACCTGAGTGTTCGTACTTGTGCCGAGCCAGAGAACTCTGTTTGCTGAACTGTTTGTCACACTGGTCGCAGGCGTACATGCCCAATTCTTCACTGATGCGGTGTCCTTTCCACGACCTTCGTCGCTTGCGTGGAGAGGAGGAATCATCATCTGTGTTGCTGACAGAATCCTCCAAATATTCCATTTTGATCTCCTCTGACTCAACCTGGGGACAAGTCAAACATTTCCATTAAACCAACTAGCTACTTTGATAGTGTCTTACAGAGAATAATAAGCATGTTTACTTAGACAGATCCCCTGTATGACATGCCCCTTGTATGACATGCCCCTTGTATGACATGCCCCCTGAATGATATGCGCCCCTGTATAATATGCCCCCTGAATGGTATGCCCCATGTATGACATGCCCCCTGAATGACATATGACTTAAAACAAAGTCTGAGAAAACCAAGTCCTGACCTGTTTTGAGCTTTTCTTCCTCCTCCTCTTCCCCTCAGCAGCTGACAGAGCCCGGAACTCTTCAAGTGAAGCAACATTGGCCAAGGTCTGTAGATTTCCCTGAGTTTCCATGAATCGTTTGAGCTCCCCCTCAAAGGTGGTCACTTTCTCAGCAGTTTTGCCCTCTTTGCTCTGACCATTGTCATCAGACTCATCTATGACCAACTTCTTGCTTATTGGAGACAAGGGCTTCACATCTAAGGAGGAAATCAACAATTTTAATTTTCAATTCAGGTACTTCGCTCATTCTGTAATGTATTGTTTAATAATTTACAAATAATGCAACAACTCTCGATTCTCTTTAGAAGCCTATTGGTCTTGAAGTGGGTAAGAGACGGGCGGGCAAGGATGGTCAGTGGTATGGTAAATAGGGTAATAATACCCAATAGGTGAAATATACTTATATTCAAAGCTATATAGAAATGTTTGCAAACTAAAAAAAAATGAAGTTTTTGACTCACCGATTTTAAGTGGTGAACAATTTGGTGCATCATCGGCAGAGCTTGTTTTGACGGGGGAGTCTCGCTGGGGGTGATGATTGTTAGGGGGGATGACTCCGGTCAGCTGAGCCAAGACGGAAGAGTTGAGCATAGATGGTGGAAACTTGCGTGCCGATGGATCCATGAGAGGGGAAAAGCCGCCCTTGAAAAGTCCTTTTTGGGACATGTACTTGAAGATTTCTGAGTGTTGGAACCCCAGTCCGGCGGCGTCCATCTTTCTGGCAGTAGCATCAATACAGTTGAGGTCTGTCATCATGATCATGGGATGAGGGTACTGTTTGGCATGTGGATCTGGGATGTGGAGGAAATGTTGGTTTGGGATGGACAGGGGAGAGAATGGAGCATTTGGAAGGGATGAGGATGACTTGGGTGTGGAGTCTCTAGATGAGCACCGTGGGGTGGTTGCTGTGACTGGGGATTCCAGTTTCACAGTTGGGGACGGGGAGACGGGCTCCAAATTGGGAACCTTATTGCTTAAGTTTAGGACATGACCTTCCAGATTTTCAAGTGGCAGGAGAGATGAGTTCTTCTGTTGATGAGCCTTGGGAGGCTGCTGCTTCCTGACACTCAGATCCAACGGCTGCTCGTCGGACAGAGGAGTTAAAGGTCCAATGCTGGAAAAATTCATTCCAACGGGTGACAGAGCAGAGGTGCTGTTGAACTTGCCGTAACGCTTGTGGTGGCCGAAGACAGCATAAGGGTTGGGGACAATGGGGATGTAAGTGGACGGGGAGGTTGAAGTAGTGGTGCCACTGGAATTTCTTCTGCAGCTGGACTTGAAAGTTGGTTTGCTTCTCATCACTTTTCTCTTCTCACGGGCCCTAGCACTTTGGAACCAAACCTGGCAAAGGACAGTAGATGTTTAAAATGATATTAAAAAAAAAAAAAAACAGAAATAAAAAATTAAAATTTTCAAAACAGTGCAAATTCTACTCAAGCAAGTAATTTACCCACTTGAAAAGATTTAAAGCCATTAAAGTATTTGATCTAACATTAAACGAGGTCCTTCAACATAATGGGTCACAATCTACCTGCACCATTTTCTTTGTGGCACCGATGATTTTGGCAATCTCTTCCATGGCATGGTCGTCGGGCTTCTTGTTGTCACGGTAACATCCCCGAAGATGCTGAGCTTGGTTCTCTGTGAGCTTTGAGCTTCTGATGACAGACCGTGCATCATCATCATCTTCCTCATCATCATCCTCTTCGTCATCATCCTCATCCTCCATGTCCTCTGTCTCATCATCAGAAACTTTACTGCTGAGGGGTGAGCATCGGTTGACTTCATCCTTGACTTTCTGCTCATCTGCCGTTTCAAGCTTGGACACGGCCTTGCCCTTACAGCCACTCATGACCTTCTTGATGTCATGGTTGTCCTCGCAGAGATAGCGCTCGTGTTGGTGCAGGTCAATGGGGCTGTGAAACTGTTTCTTGCAGTACCTACAAGTCTGTACCTCTCCATCTGAGGCGTCATTCATCTCGAGCTTGACCTCGCCCACAATCAGATCTGAAATGTCCTCACTGGATGAGCTCTCTTCCTTCATGTCTTCACAGTCCAATTCTTTGGCACTCCCCAAGTTCCTCTTTTCAACCTTCTCACCATCTTCATCTGACAGAATCTCCTCCTTCACTTCAGGTGTGACAATGTTCTGGTCCGCTCTGTCATGACCAGCACAGTCACCCTCCACCTTGCTTCCATTCTGTGACTTCATTCTCTTGATAAGTTCATTGGTAAAATTTCTGTCATGTTCCATACTGAGACCAGATTTGTCACACACTTCATCTCTTTCACACTCCCTCTTCCTGACACTTGAGCTGAGCTTAGGAGAGGACGGTGATGGTATAGCAATAGGATTTTTAAGACAACTGTCACTGATATGACTGCTTGTAAGAGGTCTGATATCCTTTCTCAATTGTGCACTCAACAGCGTGTCCACCAGAACTGGAGTTTTCTTGAGGTGTCCCTCGCTGACATGTGAGGACACCGTCTGTGAAGGGGTGTGGCTGACATGCGAGGACACCGTCTGTGAAGGGGTGTGGGCATTAGATATGGCATGGGCTGGGGATAACAGATGAAATGGAATGTTGGGGTGCTGATGTGCTGGCACCGGTGACATGGTGGATGCCACAGGCTGAGGAACAGCCATGCCCGACGTGGTTTGTGGAGCGGAAGAGGCCAACTTTTGCTGGTATAGGCTAAACGCGAAGGCATTCTGGGCTGAGGTCATCATTGCTGAGGTGATCGGGGGAGGAGGGGCAGCATAGAACTGGTGCCTGAGAGAGGGGACTGTTGGGTGTTGGTCAAACTTCATGAACTGCTGTGGGTAAGCACCTGAAATAAATACAAGGTCATCTTTTACAACAAAGATCAAACCAAACCAAACACTGAACAAATCAGATTATTTTCTTGTGTCTGTCACTATAAAAGCAAGACACCAGAACCAGTCCTCTTACACATTGCTTAGTCATCAAATACAATATATCCAGACAAAATTAACCAGAGCAGAAACTTTGAGGAAAGGTTGACTTAGAAATAGCCACTCATGGATTACAATGGCTAATTCTTGTTACAAACATAGATCTACTAGGAATGTCAACAAACAGATGTCCTAGAGACAACAGTGACACTGACCTGGAGGTGGAGATGTCATTGGCTGAGTGTAGACTTGACCCACACCTGCAAACATAAACTGACCACCCTCTGGAGGTCCCTGGTAGTTACTAGATGATTGCCCACTTTCCCTTCCTCTGCCTTGTTCCATCTGTCTCTCCTGACGTCTAGCTTGACTTTTGCTCTGGCCAATCACCCAGCATTTTTTGGAGGTCATGTGACTGCTGTAGGAACCAGAGTGTGAGAACCTCTTGGAGCAGGTAGGACACTGGAATGGTTTCTCCCCTGAATGAATTCTGATGTGTTCTACAGGGGGAACAGTAGAATATAAAATGGAAATTATATTCAGAACCAGATAGTTTTAAATGGTGCTCAACTAAAACTGAGGTGAGCTATATATATTTTTAATAACATTTCAGTTGATAAATCTTTGGTTTGTAAGAAAACTAGAGGCAGAAGAAGACATATTTGAAAATCTCTTAAACCTTGTAATGAAACACTCAGCTGATAAATCTAACAAGAGAGCTATAGAGCTACCTTTGAGGTGATGTTTGAACTTGAAGGCCTTGCCACATTCTGGACATTTGAACTTCCGAAGATCTGTAGACTCTGAATGGCTGATCATATGGCGCTGCAGGCGGTACACATTGGCAAATGTTTTCTGACACACCTAAGAATGCACACAATATAATTCTAGAGAGGAGACAAATGGTTAAAGATGAACTTGAAACATTTTAACACATTGTTATAAAAATTGTGTCAACCAAATAAATTTTGTACCCCCCCCCCACCCCCACATCATTCCATATATATTCTCCCTGCTCTAACTTATCTGCAAAGAAAACAGGCATTTTGGAAATGTTGTGACCAAGGATGACCCATTTTGTCCAACACCAGCAGGTCAATTTCTTTAAAGCATCAAATTAATAACTATAAAATAAAAACTGACGACAAAATTTACCAATAAATCATGGGAGGTCGTAGATTAAAGGGTATTTCAGTAAACTACAAATTTCAGATGAAAATAATGAGATAACAATAGTATAGACCAACAGGCCTGCTTGGACCACCAGGCAAACAATGTTTGCTTGGACCACCAGGCAAACAATGCCTGCTTGGACCACCGGGCCAACAATGCCTGCTTGGACCACCACGCCAACAATGCCTGCTTGGACCACCGGGCCAACAATGCCTGGACCACCAGGCAAACAATGCATGGACCACCAGGCAAACAATGCTTGGACCACCAGGCAAACAATCCTTGGGGTCATCAAGTAGAGAGTAAAATGTTGCTCTGACCTTGCAGGACTGAGATGTGGGAGAGTGCATGGCCAGATGCTTGTCCAGGTGAGACTTGAGTAGAAACGTCTGCTCACACTTGGGACACTGGTAACGAACAGGTTTGTCCGGGTGCTGATTACGCATGTGGTCACGTAACAGGCTTGACTTGGTGCTGGTTGATTCACAGTAGATACACTTAAGCACGTACTCCTCCTCCAGTATGTGCTCTGTGCCACAGACACAAAAACTTTTAACATTGGCAATCATTAGCACAAAATAAATGTCAAAGTATCTTTGTTAAAAATTATTATTTTCTGTTTGGGTGTTATGTGTAGGCTCAGTGTAGGTATAAAAAAAATAATAATAAAAAGGATGAAATTTTTATATCTTTCATTTTTAACATAAAAACTCCAATAAAAATATGTTTTATTTCTAGCTTGAGTATCATAATCAACATGGCCGTACCTTCATTTTGCAGCTGATTCTCTTCATCATGGTCAAAGGAAGACTCAGGGTAGGGGACAATTGTAACCTGGCTTTGTCTTATAATATCAGAGTTTATCTCCCTTGCCTCACTGTGAAATACTGTTTTTCCTTCCTTTGGTAATTCATTGGATGTTGTTTCAAAGTTCTTTTTGGTGGTTCTCTTGAGTTCATCTGACGTCAAGTTTACATTGGCTGTTGTTTCAAAGTTCTTGGTGGTGTTTCTCTTGAGTTCATCTGACGTCAAGTTTACATTGGACTCAGCTAATTTGCTCTCTGTAAAGACACAGTGAACACTATCAAGACCTATGGCAAGAACTCATAATTACAGGAGACGTTTAAAGCAACCACAAGAAGCCAACTCTTTCCAATCTAGGCCAGCAGATGTCTGGCCCTGTTGTTGATCATTCTATGGTGGGCTCAATGAAATCCAAATACAATAAGTAAAATAAGACGTCACCATAAAGTCCGTCACCATAAAGTCCGTTATTTCTAATATACTATAGAACATGAAAAAACTAACCAGACATCCAATCATTCTCCTTCTGTTAGCTTACTGAGCTAGTCTACGTGTTCAACAATATCCTAATCCAATTTAACATAGATCTACACAAAATATTATTGTTGTGATAGACTCTTACCTCCTTTGCATTCCTCCTCCTCCCCCTTACTATCAGAATCTTCCGTTCTGACCTGCGCCCCCTCCACATCTGAATTCCCATCTCCCTCCTCCTCCGCGGACCTGAGTCCATCTGTTGCCTCTCTTAACCCATCACTATCTGTCCTGTTTACGACACTTTCTCCTTCCCCGGCCCCGCACCGGCCGTCCCTGGTCTCGTTGCCATGGAGACCGGCCGTGACACTGACGTCGACATCGCCACCCGAATTTTCGATTTGAGCCGAAAGGCCTTTGGACTTGGTGTTTTCTGATTGTGAACTCAGACTGTCTGTGCTGCTGCTAAGAAAGTCGACCTTCTTTCGGCCCTGTGCTGCCGCGGGGGGTGTGCTGGGGGAGAGGGGGTTGCCGTTGGTGCCGTGTTTCTTGTGGCTGCCATCCTCGTCATCAGATGTGGTCACTCGAGCTGTGGCAAGTGCGGCCGACTCGCTGAGCTTGTGTTCCTCTAATACGTCTGTAATAGACCAATGAAAATATATAATGTCATGTAATAGACCAATGAAAACATGTCATGTAACAGACCAATGAAAACACATGTCATGTTATAGCTTCGTACCCTCAGAAATTCCAGTTAACCATCAACTCTAACTCTTCTCATCATGGGCGTCCACAAGGAGCAAATCTCTCACCCCCCCCCCCTTTGGATAGTGCTAACATTTCCTCCAAATACTAGACTATCCCAGTCGTCCCTCGCCACTTCGCACTTCGACTTCACGCGGCCTCACTCGCGGTTTTTCAAATATAACATTTAACATGTCTTCCTTTAAGAGTTGATCGAGACTCCATATAGGCAAAATGATATAGCGCTCTCTCTCCATTGTAGGAGTCAATACATCTCTGTAATACTATTAAAATTTAATTTACTGTAGGCTAGTGTAGGCATATGCATTAGGGCAGTGGTTCTCAAACTTTCTAATGCCGCGACCCTTTAATACAGTTCCTCATGTTGTGGCGACCCCCAACCACACAATTATTTTCCTTGCTACTTCATAACTGTAGAGTATATGTGTTTTCCGATGGTCTTAGGCGACCCCTGGGAAGGGGTCGTGCGACCCCCAAAGGGGTCGCGACCCACAGGTTGAGAACCACTGTAATAGGGCATCCCCAGAGGGTCTAATCATGTTAAAACCCATAATTAGCGGGTCATGAACAGGTTTTCAATGCCCCAACTTTGAAAATATTCCATTTATAAATAAAGAATCCTACTTTGCGGAAATTCACTTATCGCGGTAGAGCCTGGAACTGAATGACCGCGATAAACGAGGGACGACTCTACTAACATTTTCAAGCCTCTAAAATTGACTCACTCAATGTTTCAGTCATGTAGCATTATAGCCTACTGTAGCATTATAGCCTACTGTAGCATTATAGCCTACTGTAGCATTATAGCCTACTGTAGCATTATAGCCTACTGTAGCATTATAGCCTACTGTAGCATTATAGCCTACTGTAGCATTATAGCCTACTGTAGCATCATAGCCTACTGTAGCATTAAAATAAATGATGGTCAAATTTGTGTACGTGAATACAACGTCATTGTGTGTGTTGCATACGTCCTCAGAGGATTTGTTGTCAAAAGCATGTGCCCCCCTCCCCCCCCCCCCCGTTCCCCTCCTAAAAAACCCTTGTGCGGACGTCAATCCTTCTAATGACCTTATGTTCTAACATCATCCACTATGCATACACTGAATGCATTCAGCGCTCAATACATGACATTGGCAGCAGTCGGTCACGGTTGGTGTTTTACGTGCAATGGAATCATGACATTAAGAACATTGACGTGATGCAAGTCTAGAAATACGTGTCTTAGGCTAGTGACCACTGGTCTGTGTTATAGTTAGGCGGATCTCAAAGCACACAGCAGGCGCAAAACATATGACGTGGCTTTTTCATGTGCCGTCAGTCAGTTGGTGACTTTAATTTATAAGGATTGTTAGGATTGCTTTCAGAGCTAAAACACTGAACACTAGTTCCAGGGGTATACATCTGTGTTCCATAATCAAAGATCCTGAATACATGTATCATCAGATAATTTAAAAAAAAAAAAAATAATAACGTCTGAAAAAGTAGGGGAAAAAACGCGACCAGACTTATCCAAGTTTATCAGCTGGCTCTGACAGATGCTGTCAGAAAGCCTTGTGTTGGAGCATGGAAAGGGAGTCTGTGCAGTGTGAAAGGGCAGGGGGTGGGAGGTCGTCAGGAGAATGTGAAACACGACACTGAAGCAAAGATACAAAAAATGGATGTGTCAAACAACAAAACGGACCACAACAATCCTCTGGACAAAAGGGGAGGTAATCATGTCGCCTGGAACAAGGGGGCGTAACTGTGTCGCGTGGCTTTCGATGACCCCGTTTCACCTTTCCCGATTAAAGGGTTCCACTTCTGATATCTTGCCTGGGGGGTTCCCCTAATTAACATAGAGTGAAAGAGAATTAGCCAGCAAAGAATAAAGTAATGAGAACAAGAAAGAAGCAGCGAGAGAAACAAAGGGGTGGGGGTGAGGAGACAGAACGTTCCAAACATAGGGGTAGGGGTGAGGGTTAGGAGAACGAATGCTCCAAACAATGAAAGGAATGCTCCAAACAATGAAAGGAATGCTCCAAACAATGAAAGGAATGCTCCAAACAATGAAAGGAATGCTATCTATTAATCTAGTGACTGCGAAAGCGATGTAAGTTATTTTCAGAAAGTAGTCGTAAATTGTAGGTATTCCATCATGCTGCAGTAACCTACAGTGCCATTAACTGAATCAGAACATGTGAGTAAGGCCTACTTATCTTTTTCTTAAGAAATACATCTGCACTATTTCAACATTGCAAATGATGGTCATGTGCTCATTTTTATCTAGCTCATCAAAATATTTCTGAATATTTGTCTTTAACAAATTAATTTTTAGTTAGTGGAATAAAGTGGACTTTGTATTCACGGGTAAAATGCATTACTATTCCAGCCATCACATTACTTCAGAGATCTGTGATCAACATTCTTATGGTCATCAAATGTTGAGGTCCTACTTATAATTGTAAACTGTACACAAACACACAATGTACATTGTACACAAACCGTTATCATGGCGAGTTTAAGATTAACTCAATATTGAAACATTTTTGTTCACCATCACTTTAATAATGCCATACAACTCCAGTTGGGCTATGCCCGGAAGTCCTAAGGCTAGCAGGGGGGTGGGCCCGGCCCGAGTCATCCCATCAACGCGGTCCAAGCTCCCGCGTTGATTCAAAGTCAAGCTAATGCCACAAGACGGGCCGACGACATGCTGAAAGAAACAGTCAACGGCAACTAATGCCACAAGACGGGCCGACGACATGCTGAAAGAAACAGTCAACGGCAACTAATGCCACAAGACGGGCCGACGACATGCTGAAAGAAACAGTCAACGGCAACTAATGCCACTAGACGGGCCTACGACATGCTGAAAGAAACAGTCAACGGCAACTAATGCCACTAGACGGGCCTACGACATGCTGAAAGAAACAGTCAACGGCAACTAATGCCACTAGACGGGCCGACGACATGCTGAAAGAAACAGTCAACGGCAACTAATGCCACTAGAAGGGCCGACGACATGCTGAAAGAAACAGTTAACTTATTATAAAAAGTGTTGGACTGCGATAAAGCTTTAAAATAGAATAATAAGACACGAACAAATTGTGTCAATAGAACAATATGAGTTAGCTTTAATAATAATTATAAATTATACACAATTAAACGTTTCGGCACATGCCTTCATCAGTACAAACAAACAAAACACATTTAAATAAGTATAAATTAAATTTACATAATATCAATATACATATCCTACCTAAAATATAAAAAAAAAAATATCGGAGAGGGCGCTAAAACCAGACAAAAACAAAGTAAAGAGAAGTAGAAAGGAAGTGATTTTAACATAATTGGAAAAACCAAACAGGAAAAAGACATGGCAGCTAAGTAAAACTATGGATTTGGTTCAATCCATATGGAGACAACGTACCAAATCTAGTTATTAATTTGTTCTCCATATAGATTCTATCTGCAGTGTTACTAGTATAGAGTATACCAGTAACTGCAATATCTGAGATACCATTATGGTTAGGGCTATTGAAATGTTTGGAGACCGGACAGAGAGCGTGTTTATTTATGTTATAGAGGTGCTCTCTGAAACGGTCCCCAAGGCGACGACCTTTCTCTCCTATGTATAGTTTACCGCACTTTTTGCAACTAATGCCACTAGACGGGCCGACGACATGCTGAAAGAAACAGTCCACGGCAACTAATGCCCCGCCAAATTCAAGGTAGTCGGTAGACGTGCTCAGGCGGTGAGTAATAAGCCCGGAAGTTTATTTGACACAAGGCATGCTGGGAGTGACACCGCCTCTCGGTGGGTGGACTCTAAATGCCACGGACATTGCCGCACTCACAGCTCATTTCATCATGAGCACAACACGGGATTAGTATATTAATTTGGTCTGAAAGACTTGATGATCTTTCACACATTTCGACAACCAATCCAATCTATACCTTATTACAAACGGTCCACCCAAACTGGACAATGTGACGACACGGTCCACCCAAAGTGGACAGGCTGACGACAAACTACGTCGTCCGTCTCTTTCTAGATCACAGTGCATGATAACATGCACTGACGTGTCACGGGGCAAGCATTAAGAGTTCATCCCAACGGTAGCATGTTGTGACAGGATGTACGGTCCAAGTTATGATCTCTACTATTGTACTCATGATGTCAGTCAGACATCACACGTCATATGATACATCCCATCAATTGTTGTCACATCGTGAATGGGCAAACATCAACATTTTCTAATTAAACAAAAACACGGGACTCAAAATGACCCTACAACCTCACTATACTCAAAAAAAAATACTGCTTCGAGATCTTTCTATTTTTAAAAAAAAAAGCGTCTTTACAGATGCAGGCGTGCAGAGAGCAACCCGCTTCCATCCTTACTCTATACCTACAAGGTGGAAACCTGCCGAGTGTATGAACTGCAGGTTTCAATTACCCAACACGCCACTTGGGTTTAATCTCCATCCGCAGTGAAATGGCGGGTACTTTGATGACCATTTGATCATCGGAGATTATTTGAACCCTTCCAAATGGCCGAGACGATTCGCTTTCATATCCACCGTTCGCCGACATTGCGAGCGGATGGGGGGAAATGAGGGTGAAGTATTACGTCAAGTTGAGTCACTTACCATGACCTTTACCAGCGGCCCCTCCACCCTGCACCTTTCACGGACCGCAGCGGTTCTAACAGCCCAGTGCTGTACCGCCTGCTACATCACCTGTGATACTGAATAATACCTACGACGATGGACAGCTGAGTACATCTCCTACCGAGGGGTTGGGGGGGGGGGATTAAGGGGCGGTTACAATTTATTTCAACACAACTCAGTTCTAAGAATTATTTTATGACAATTTTCAGGGCGAGCT